CACGGAGAACCCCATCCAACACTGACTTTTCACAAAACCTTTCACCTCTGTGGGTCTCCCAGAATCCTCAGCAAAATCAAACCACCAGTGGGACAAGAACTCATGTTCACTCACCATGGAAAAATCAAAGTCATCCCGTGCAAATGATGAGTTATCTGCCACAACAGACTGTCTTCAAGAGCAGGGATGCCTTAGGAAATGGGAAAGACTGAGGAATGGCCAGAGCACTGTCATTCTGAAACTGAATTAATTCCTGGCCAGTTCCCAAAGTACTTTACTTAAAAAGGCATGGAACACCTCCACTCTACAACTCCACAACAGACAAATCAAGCACCAGAGAACAAAAGGAACAAAGGGGGCTCTTAGATTGCAGGGTTCTATTTTGTCCACAAACCTTATTACTGCAATTTGGTCTTACAGAAAACTTAATCTCAAGTTAAAACAGAAACAGTGTGGTTTAAAAATATATATATATTTTTGGATCAAGAAAATGAGACAGGGCAGCAGTCGTGGAAAGAATGATTAAATTGGCACCAAACACAAACAGAAGATAGCAGGCTTGAACATACTCCTGGCGGAAAAGGGTGATTTTGAGCAACAACAGAAAGTGACCTATCCGCCCTGACCCAGGATGAGAAGATGTTTATAAAGAAAACTAGAGATTGGAACTTTGCCTTACTGACACTGAAAAGCTAACATTTTAAAGACTTTTTATGAGACTTCTAACTAATCATCTCTGGCTGTCCTCGGCAGGCACAATATTCTCCTTCCCCCACTATCCTTTCATTAAATATTCGCTTTCTCTCCACTACCTTTTGGCCAAAGCTCAGTCTGTTCATTCTAACAGCCACAAGCATTATCTTTTGCCAAGACTATGCATCACTCTTATCATTAATAAGAAATCACTCCCAAGATGGCACAGGATTATGTTTAAACACACCAGATGATTGGCCTCCAAGTTCGTATGGGAGCTGCCGCCTTCTACCAGCTGCTCTCAGTGGAAGTATAATGTAAAACTCCATCTGAAACCACTTGCCCAATTACAGTGCATGCAAATGACAGACCGGCATCTTTTAACTACAATAAAAGCTTCCAGCCCTGCTCTCTCTGGGACACGTGCCAGTGGGATCAGCACCACAGGTCTCCCTTCAAACGCTGTCTTCCCAAAAGGCCTCGGTTCACTGAGCATGATGACACCAACAACAGAGCTGCTTTCCTCAAATGACTGAGGGCAAACTTTTTGAGAGACACCGAAGCAAATGTAATAAGTTCTCAATAAGAAACGAGAGCTTTCTCAATGTTGCTGGGTAATTCTGCAGCAAGTCAAGTCGTTCAAATAAGAAAGTCATTTTTTTAATCTTAATTCTTGGCATAAATTAGTCTCAATAAGCAGACTAGTGCCAGAATACATGTGTTGTTTCCAGACCCTCTTATCTCACGGGTACTTTGTTTCTTTGACAATTCACCTTGGGTTTAAAAGCAACGTGGAAAAGGTCCTAATCTAATACCAATAGTCTTGGACCAAACTTCCATGACAGCATGAAGACAGTGAAGAAGCCTTTCAGACACTGGCAACGCAATTCACTTACAAGAGTTCTACAAGTCCCAGCCTGCTGCTAGCCATGGCCCTCAGATTTGCATGGATTTTTAAATGAGCTTTCTCTGCTCAATACTCTTGTGCATGCTTGTCAGTTAGGAAGATGCAAATCATATCCACCCAATCTGAACCGAATTAAAATATACTTATTAGCCAAACTGTACATGGCAAATTATAGCTTATTTCCTTTGTAGGGTTTCAGTGTCACTGACTACGTTAATGGTATACTTTATTAACCACTCAGGTGGTTGGTCAACTGCAATTTGGTCCACACAGAATAGACAGGATTCTAATTTCTTGAGAGTGGAGGGGGTGGTAACCTCAGAAACAAATATGCTTATTTATGTTTCTCAAAGTTTTCTATTATAAAGTTTCATCACAGTGTTTCTTTAAATAGCAACTTCTGTTAGCACATCCCATTTCATTCAATTTACTCAAAGTTGACTTACACACAACCTCACATTAACATTTCTATTACGTAAGAAAGAATAATGTACTACTTGTTTTATGTTTAGAGTCCGATGTCTGGATCACAGACATAATAAGCCTGTGCCTTATCCGTCTTTTAAATCCCTCTCATCTAACATCTTAGGGCATAGAAAGGGAATTAATAAATGTCTGCAGGAATAAGGGATGAAAGCCAACTGCTAATGCAACACCCTCACAAACTTGATGAGTTCTCTATTTTACTGTCCTATCACAGCATACAAAAGCGTCAATTGTGTTAAAAAAAAAAAAACCTCATCCTTACTGATTTCCAGTCAGTTACAAACTAGATCTATATTCTGGTAAGTCACTAGGCTTTATGTAATTCTATGATACCAGGGGCATTATAATATCAAATATATTCAATTGAAAACACAGTAAAAGCCTGACATCAGATTTACTTATTCTAAGAAATTTAATTACAGGAATAGAGAACAAGCAACACAGGGCCTGCCCCTACCCTGCGGCTCACTTACACTAGGCTAGTATGCTACAAACTAATATCTGATCCCAACCTCCCCTTTCCTGATGACACTAAAATATACTTGCTAGGATGTAGATGGAAACCTGCCACCACCCGCCCCCTGCCCCCAATTCAATGACCATTGATCATTTCCTGCTTCCCCAGACCAAAGTCTGAACTTGATTGTGTACTCAGAACTGAGTTCTGGCTAGTCACAGCAAATGTGCACAGCATTCCTGCTGGGTGCTAGACTCTAGGGCAGAGGCACGGCATAGGCTCTCTTACAACACACCTCCCATGGACCGGGAAATGTCATTTTGTAGACAGAAATGCCTGTTTCACAACATCTATGGGATACCTGAAGAGCCCAGGTCAGAGCAAAAGAAGGGAGGTAGGGTGAAAAAATCTGCGAAATATCAAACAATGTGCTCACACACGCCCCCTGCTTTAGGACCCAAGAGTTTCCTGAGTGTTAAAGTGCAAAACATGAAAATGGCTCATGAGGGAAGAGGAGCAGGAGAGGGGACGAAGCCCCATCCTGATTCGCAGAGGCAAGGGTGCCTAACACAACACCCAACAGTCAGAACTCACAGAATCAGACTGTACCTCTTACATATACTCAGAAAGATAATAAGCCCCCTATTTCATCCCAGCATGTGACATAAAGTACTTCATTATCATTGGTTAATTATTTACTCAGCATCTCTATAAGACAGAAACAAACACAGATGTTTATTTAGCAGCGTCCAGGCTAAAATACAAATCAAATGCAAAGCACAGAAATGTCTAACTCCAAAGGCATACTATCCATTAGTTGTACAGTGACCAGATACCGCCTGGGAACTACAACTCCAGAACATATCATTGCTCAAAAAAACTATGGTAAATCAGACAGGATCCTGCACCACTGCATGGCTCCTGGTCCTAATGAATCACCTCAACACAGTCTGTTTGATATTTAGAACACACTGTCTTTCAACTCTATGCCAGTTTCCAGTGGAGAATGTCACTGGCTTTTGTTCTGTTCCATATTTTTCATTTTTTTCTCAGAAACAACTGGTCATGAATGCACATATCACACAACAGTGGACATAACATGTAATCATCCCTATAAAAACAGGAGAAAATAATAAGCATTGGTATATATTGGTACACACAAGGAAATGTGAGAAGCTGATAACACAGGTTGCCTGGATAGACATGGATCAGACAGTTGGAAACAGACCTGGGAAGAAATTTCCTTCCACTTGGTCCTTTTTCATATCTATCCAACTTGGAAAAAGTAAATGTATTACTGAGCCAAAGAATATCACCAATCAAACACAGACACTGGAGTTATACTCTCTCCCTTCCTAATTTAAATCAAAAGACTGAACCAAAAGGCAATAACATGCGCTCTTTCCCGTAACCATGCATTTAATACAACATTAAAACATAAATACAATGCAAATCACAAATCTGCACTTTGGAAGCTTCATCACTAGCAATAACACAAAGACCGAATATGTAGGTGGAAAATTGGGGAAGTGCTTCAACATAACAATCTACTGGAGCTAAAATTCTCAACACATGAAATCTATGAGGCTCGCAGTTTACACTCTTCCAAAGAATAAAGAGTAATAAGACTCATGCAAACCCAACAGCTGCCTCACCCAAATGTTCACTTCCCTTTCTTCCAACTTCACTTGCCAAACTCTTGATGCATTTCTTTCTAAGAATAAAATTGCCCAGAGGATGATTTCTGCCCCTAGGTCTCCTCTCCCCCACCTCTCTTTGCCTCTGTACTAACCTGGGCCTGCATTCTGAGACCGTGTTGCTAAATAATTCATTTCTCAATGGTGTTCCTGAAAATACCCAACTTCTTAAGCTCAAGGAACTGAGAAGGAAAATTCTTAAATAGAAACCTTACAGAACTTAGTCAAGAGACCTCAAGAATTCAGCAGGATTTTTCTAAAAAATATTTTTAAATTCTGAAGTACCACCCTTTGCAAAGTCAAGATTTCACTTAAGGGCTAGTTCCCTCAAGGGAGATCTCCTTCCCTTTCACAAGAAACCCCACACTGGAAAATATACCAGAAGGACAAGAGTTGGGGCATGAAGTTCTTAGAGCCGCCACCAGGATTCAACTCTGAACCTCCTCATGCACAAACCTAACAGAAAATCTGACTGGGTGGGGAATGTAACAAAGAAAACCATAGTCCTACACACTCCTCAAAACACCCCAAGTGTTTCAGTGGTGGTGGTGATTGTCTTACATCAAGTGTAGGCCAAACAGATAGGCCCACTGAAGATCTTCTCCAGGGGGACACACTGCAGTGTAATTTCCAGTGTCCTCAACATTATCTCCATGATAAACGCCCAATCACAAAAGTGCAGCAAGATCTCTCCTCAACATTATCTCCATGATAAACGCCCAATCACAAAAGTGCAGCAAGATCTCTATCTGCAATATTGCTTTGCTACTAGGCTCTATATACACACCCTCTCTCATTCTCTCTCTCTCTCTCTCTCTCTCACACACACACACACACACTCACACACAAACAGCTTTAGAAGATGCACTGAGGCCCTACTCTCAGAGAAAAAAGCTTCTTCAAGTGGGGAGCCATGTCTTTTATCTTTGTGTCCAGTTATTAAGTTATGCCAATTGCTCAGAAGGGTCTTAAAAATACTTGCTGAATGAATGAACAAAACCATCCAGAGAACAATGAGGAAATGACATCCCATGCTGAGGAGGAAGGAATGGTCGGGCCTATATTGGATGAGAGCTTTGGATGCTGTTCAGAAGCTTTCTTCAGAAAAAGACTCTCAGGAGAGTCTTTCCATTTTCTTAGGAGAACCCGAGTGGCAAGTCTAAAGGTACTTGGCTTCCCCAGAGTAAAGGGAATAAAACCCCGGAGAGCTGTCTTGAGTCCCCCTTGCGACTCAGTGATAGGACAGCTTCCCTCAGCCTCCCTGGGTAGGAAAGAGGAATGAGAAGCTCAGGCGACCCCAGAGGAGCTATGACTTCAGATATTCAAGCTCCAAGTCAAGAAAACAGCAAAGGAAGGGACCACCCACATGCAATGATAGCCTTATATTAAGAGGGGTAAAGAGAGGCTGAGAAAAATGAAGTGAGTCGCCCACACAGCAAGTTAGTGACAGGTTCAGGATGAGAACTGAGTTCCCCTGAACTTTAGTCCCAAGTTGCTGAGTAACTCACCACACTGCTCTGCCTGACTCCCTCCCTGTTCCCAGCCCAGGCACCCCAGTGTAAACAACCAAAAACACCTCAGCAAACAGCCAAGACCACCGGGAAAGTGAGAGTGCTGCACCTGCCATGTGCTGGGGAACTCTCACTAAAAAATATTTTTAAATTCTGAAGGGGTCCTATGGCTGGCTCCTATGGTCCGTCACAGCACTAAGTAAAACAAATTTCAATTGCTGAAGTCTGACATAAGACGCTGACTCAAGGGCATGTTTTACAAACGATGGTGCACTCCAGTTTGTCCACATAATGCTACCTAAATGCTCTCAGAACAATCTGGAAGCAAGTAGCTTCCACTTTCATTTTTAGGAACTCACACAGTAACAGAAAAACAGCAGCCTCCAGTGCTACATGGAACTTGTACCTCAATTTGCCTTGACTGTTGCAGCAATCACGCCAGGCCTGTTTACAACCAAGTGCTTGGATGAGAGACACTATCAGGCCTCAAGCAAAGCTATCCACCAGAAGATGGTTCAATGGCTCAGGGTGAGCTTATTTCGATAGCAAATCAGTTATCATTGTGACGCTGTAGTTTCAAAACCTAGCTTACAGGGTCCATGTTCTGCTACTATGTCATTTACTTTCAAGTTTTATTTTGGAAGCTGATCTTATGGCCAGGAAAAGAAAGTACTCATATCAGGGCATAGGTCTTGCATTGTTCCAACTAACTAAATAAAGCCATTTTCCTCATTGGCAAAACTGAAAGCCTTTCCAGGATATTTTTTTTCCCCCAATAGCCAAGTCCTCTGCCAAGTGCATTACAGCATCATCATTCTAAGTCTTATGTTTACATTTTCAAGAAACAATGTTTGAATTACTCTAGAACCAAAATAGAAGGGAGATTCTCAACTTCACTGTAGCTACCAGACTTGCTTTACATGGGAGATACAGAGATAAAAGGCAGAAAAGAGACAAAGGATCAGGCTATATCTGATAGCTTTTCTTCCCCAATTCTCAAAGCATTAGGCATCAAACTATTAGTGATAATAACTCATTTTAAAGACCAGCTACACAGAATACCACAGTCAGGCATATGTGTACACATCAGAAACATTTGGAAAAAATGTAACTGAAAAATATCCAAGTTTGAGGACAAAAGCGTCACTGAAATGCTTGTCCCTTAATGCCTCTTTAGTCTTATGAACAAAAAGACAAAAATAGACCCCAGTAGATATTCACAAAGAAGGTCTTGATGAAGGAATGGAAGGGGATTCAACCCTGGGTTTCAAAGTCAACAAAAATTGCTATAATTACATCTTAAGTCATTTATCCATGGCAGAAATCTTTTTAAGAATAGGAACTAAATTATCATCAATATTAATGAGGCAGATTCCCTGCTATTCAATGAATTCACCAGAATGAACAAAAAGTCAATGTAGTATCTAAACTAGGACAGCACCTTTACAATGAGGTCCTAAGGAGGCATGGCTGTTAAACAAGGTCAGAGTCCCAGACACTGCTTCGGGTCAGATGGTCAGAATGACTTCCGACACTATGATATAACCCCAACAGGATTTTCTCAGTCCCTGTCATCCTTCCTGGACAAAATGTTTTGATATTTCACAGTGATATCCAATAGAGTAAGGCCTTCTTACATCATTTTTCATCTTGAATGTCAAAATATTTTTAGGATCTGGCAGGTCCTGGAACAGAGAATTAACGCAGTGATTTATAAGGGAGTTGAAACAAGAAGAACTACTGCACTCATTTTCAAATAAAAGACAAATAACATGTCAGCCAGAAAATATGATTCAGGATACAATTTTGGATGTGCTGTGGAAATAGTATCTACCACTAGCAACTGGTTTTTACTAAAAATTTCTTTACAGGGCTGGCATTGTAGTACAGCATGTTGAGCTGCCACCTTTCACACTGGCATTCCACATAGGCACCAGTTTAAGTCCTCGCTGCTCCACTTCTGACCCAGTTTCTTGCTAATGTACCTGGAAAGACAGTAGAAGATGGCACGAGTGCTCTTGTCTCTGTCACACACATGGTAGATTCAGATGGAATTCCTGGCTTCTGCCTTCAACCTGTTGCAGTCATTTGCAGACTGGAGCAGCTGATGAAAGATCTCTCTCTCTCTCTCTCTCTCTCTCTCAATCTTTTTAAAAAATTTCTTGGCGAATATTCACTTAACTATGCTTGCTTTTGCCTCTAAAAACAGTTTAATTTCACCATTCTTTGTAAATTTGACATTTCTCTTTTCATTTTTTCCTTTGAGGGATTTGCTTGGCAGATTTTTATCAGTAGATTTTATGATTCTGGTCATGTATCATCTTTAAACTCTGCTCATATTCTTTTTTTCCCTAGTCTAACAATTTCACCTTCTTGAAACCAGGCAGAATGTCTTCAAATGGAGTAATGGCCACCCTGGCTCAAAAAGCACAATGAGAAGGAATGACGCAAATGAAGAAAAATAGGTCAAAGGATATGATGAATAAATCTAGAGATGAGAACTGGTACATACTAGAAATTGGCTGAGTAGGCTTAAAGGCTCTCACCACACATACACACACACACACACACAAATGAAATGATGAATATACTAGTTTGCTTAACTACAGTCATGGCACAGTGTACAGTGGTTCCATATCATGCTGCTGTATACCTTCAACATACACAATTTAAAAAAAAATAAACCTGAATGCATCATTAAAGAAGTCAGCTTGAAGTGATTAACAACACATACAGCCCAGTTCAGTTGAGGACATGTAGAAAGTGTTAATGAAGCAGATACCTTGCTAACTTTTCTTTTTTATTATTGAAGACACCAACATAAACTCATACACACACAAGTCCGTTGAGAGACACCATGGAATGGCTTACTCATTAAATGTTCACAGCAGCCATGTGTCCCCAACTGCCAGAACTAGGCAATCCAGAAAAAGGAGTCAAGAACTCAACCAAGATCTCCCATATGGGTGACAGGAACTCAGACACCCACACTATCACCTGCTACTTCCCAGGGTTTGCACTAGCAGGAGACCTGGAATCCTAAGCTGGAGCAGAGTATGGAACCCAGGTATCCAATATGGACACAGGTGTTCCAACCAGTTGGTGTCTTACCTGCCAGCCAAACATCTGCCTCTGCTAATGTTTTTAATCCTGGAAAGAAGGTATTTGGTACCTTAGAGTAAAAGGTAGGAATTTAGAGGACTTTGAGGAACAAATCAGATGTGGCTGAGACAATCTATGGTTGCCCTACTTGGGCTGTGTTTGGTTGAATAGTCTCAGCAATAGACTACAGTAAAGCCATTTCAAAATGGCTTAAGTCAGAGCCTGTATCAACAAAATCAGAATTTTTTGACTATTTTAAAGTCCCAGGTGATTCTTACATAGATGCAGGGTGAAAAATCCCAGCTCTGGACAACTGTCCTTCAGTGACCAGTGGTAAACCAGTTACTAGCCAAAGCACACAGAAAGCAGAGAAGGGGGTGAGTGAAGCTGAAACATGATTATCAAGGAAGAGGGTGGGAGCAGGTATTGATGTCTGATGGGAAAGGAGCACAGAGTGTAAGTAAAAGAGATGCACAAATTATTGCAGAAAGTTGAAGGAAGATGTAGGAAGTTGAAAACCTGGTAACATTTGCTATGGTGACTTGAACTAATACTGCAAAAATTACAGATTTCTGAAGCTTTTAACAAGCTTGCAAAAATCAGTTAAAATTATTAAAAATTATTGATAGACATTGATAAGATGGATAAAAGTTATTGATTAGTATACATATACATACACATTGTGCTAGGAAGAATTAATTACTTAACCATTTAATTGTCTGATTTTAACGAAGCGTCTTTCATAAATTTCAGTCTTTGACTCAGTGTACAAACAAAAGACATAAACTGAAAGACTGAATAAAGGGGAGGGCTTTGTAACCCTTAACATCACATTGCCCTATTTTTTGAGAAATCATTGCTTATCTATACAGAAGTAGAGCACTGTCCCTTTACTACAATAGTGTTTTGAAAACACAAAAATGAACCCCACATACTGAACAATCCCAGTGTGAGAGCTGTACACTTATCACAGAAAACACACATGTGAATGCGGAATGGTGCTCAGGCTGGCAAAATGATCGCATGCCAAGAGGGCTGCTTCCAGTCCAACACAGCCAAGCTTATCTCTGCAAAGAGGCGGGAGTTTCAGCAAAGCTGTGAGCTCTTAGGAATTTTCATTTGGAACATATAATGAAACAGGCAAGGTGCCAAAACATTAAGGCATATCCAGTTACTTCTTGCTTATGCACACTGAAAACTACAAGAAAGAACTATTCATAATTATTCCGCACCATATGTT